TCCTTCTTTGTAAATACTCCCCTATTTTCAAAAAGTCAGTCCTCATAATGCTTCTGATGATCCATCTCTTCTAAGGGGTTAAAAGAAAATGCATATTCCAAAAGCGGTAGAGAGTGGGCACCTCCAGGGGCTGGAGACATTTGGGGGCGCGGGGGTCGAACCCGCACCGCATCCTGCAGTAAGACTTTTGCAACAACCGGGTTCGCTCTCCCTGGGCTAGGGATCTGCTCTGGTGAGGCCCAGCTAATAGAGCTAGCAGGTAAACAGGATAAAGAAGGTTGTAAAATAAACATACTTTTTAAAATGAAAAATCAAAATGATCTAGAGATACTCGCAGTTGAAAATCTACAGCTGTCATTTAGTGCCAAAGGTGACTGCTGTCCCGGAGGAGCGGTCAAAACTAGCGGGCCCGGGTCGGTGAAATAGAAATGCACTGCTGCTTCTGATAAAAAGATCCATTTTGTACAGGGCATGAGGGGGGTGACATCTTGTTGGTTTAGAGATGATTTACGCACTCGTGTTGTAAAATCTAAAACGACGCCCCTGGGAAGAGGAAGGAAGGAGAGCGGACTGGTTGGTGAGACACATCGCTACCTGCTTGAGGCCCCACACTCCGATGGAGTGCACCAGCATAAGGTCGGGAAACAAAACGCACGATCGCAGGGCATCCAAGGCGCGGAGAGAGGCTCCGAGCCGCGGGASGGTGACCCACGGTCTGCAGCGCTGGAGATCTCAGCCCCGGGAGCATTGGCAGCCTGGCGCCCTGGACTTTACTGGCCCATTTCCCTGACACCTCAAACTCCGAGTCTTCTGCCTGTTGCCCGAAAGCGGGCGAGAGTCACTCAACTATCCGTTCATCCAGCAGTTTAAGAGGACGACACTCGGCCCCCCGCCCCTGCAGGCAAAATTAACCTTCACCACCGGCCTTCGCATTCGGCTTAGGGGCTCGGGGACCGCCGTGGACTCTGGGCTGCACCTTCCTCCCCTCTAAAAAGAAAAATTTCCTGGCTACCCTAAAGACGATCTATTTAATTGGCTCCCCTCTTGAATTAATTGAGAGCAGAATTCAAATTCAGAGTGTCAGCACCGGAGGTCGCAGGGTGGTGCCGCTGAAGACTTTTCTGGCGCCATAACTATTGCGAATGCTGAGACACAGGGGAACTGAGATTATTTTGATACGAATTCAACCGGGGAGCGCCCCAGAAAATGTTCCCTCTCTCCTGGGCGTTCCTCGGCCGAGGAGGAGTTRGGGAAGCTGGGCCGCTCGAGTGCGGCTGGAGGATTGCGAGGGTAGGCCTTCGCGCCGCGTTTGCACCTCTCCCTTTGTGACAAATCGATTTCCCGCGCCGCTGTGGTACATTTGCATCCCGCCAGGCCCGGGGCCCAGCTGCGCCCGGTACACACGTAGCGGCGGCTTGTGAGTGTGTGCGTGTGCGCGCGCGTGTCTAATTGACTTTCCGTCTACCTTTTTATGACTACATGTGTTTCCAACAAAAGGTCCTATTAGGACAATCTGGTTTCACTAATTTAGGGGTTGGGAACGTGGAAGGCAGGCGCTTTTTTTTTTTTTTAACAATTTGCAGAAGTTGAGATTAAGAAATAAAAGCGAGATGAACTGCCCTTCTAGGGGTAGGTCTGATTCTTTTTATGACCGGTTCCTCTTTCCTCTCCCTGGTATCCCTGTTCTGCCATCACCCCCATTCACACACCGAACTCCCACCTTCACCACTGGATTCCCAGCGGTGTTAAAGAGCCCAGAAGTATACTGAGTCAGAAGAATCAGTTAAAAGGGAAAATAAATCCTTCTATTGAAAGAAAAATAGAATGAATCTCAACATCAGGGGTGGAGGTGGGATGCTGATGGGGAGTGGGGTAGTTCAGGAGGAAGCACTCACTTTGGGCCCAGCTCAGTTCCTCTAGGATACACTGGAACCACATTGTAATTTAAATTTTTGCAAAATGTAAGAAGCTAATATTGAAAGAGTAAGTTGAGGGCTGTTTGCTAATTTCCTCCAAACAGAAAATTTAGAAAGGACAGGGATAAGAACTGTTTCTGTACAGCTGGGAAAGTCAAAGTTATCTTTTCATTGTTCTCCATCTCTCCAATGGAAATTATCTTTTTCCACTCTGGAGGAGTCTCTCAGCTGGCTGTAAGAAACACCGGGCTCCTGATGCAATTTTTCAATACCTCTGACTCCCAGTGTGCCTTGAAGCCAGGACTTCTGCTCTAGCACTCTTCTGCCCAGAGACTCCCCTCTCCTCTGTTTCACAGACCCAGCCTCTGGTCCACTGCAGGCTGGAGGACCAGTTCAACCCCACAGGTCTTGATTTCCAAGCAGTTTACAACTTCCTCTGCCACTCTTGGTGGGAGCCCGGGAACTAAGGGACAGTAACTCCACCGTCATCCTTAGACTCTCCCATTCTCATTCCCAAGGAGAGGAAGGAGGTGAGGAAAAGCAACAAACTATTTGTTAGCATAGCCCCAAACCCATGTCTCTGGAAATAAGGCCTTCCATATATATGTTCTCAGCCACTTTCCCAGACCTAGGTGCTGGTTATCTTGTTCCCATCTCCTTGCTCTGCATTCTGTGACTTCCTTCCCATATTATCGACCATCCTCTGAATAGATCCTCTCCCTGGCTGGCCTCTGGAGTCTATTCTTTTCTGGGTCCTCTCCCCCAAGACCTCTTCACTCTTCATATGTAGGGTGTGTGCGTGTGCTGTAGTATCTCCAGGTAGATTCCCATAGTTTTGTACCCTTCTCCCAGAATAAATGGTCCCAACTGTGCCCACAACCCTAAAATGTCCCAGCAGATGCCACATGTGTGGTGTGGCCTTGGTGGCTCCAGGAGCCATTCACCAATCCCAGGCAGTCTCCCAGCCATCTCCTTTGACTTACAAATCATTCCTGGGTATTGTAGCCAGCTTTTCCACCTAGCTTCCCTAGGTACCTACTAGAGTACCATAACAAACCCAGAGCTCCCTTCTCTTGGCATCCACTCAAAGAAGCCAAAACACAGGCACCTTCTGCATCCCTGCAGAATCTGATGTTCACTGGTGGCCTTGGCCCTGGGCTTTCAGAGGCCAGGGCCTTGGTCCTGCATTTCCCATCCTCCTGCCTTCTCTTGGGGCAAAGCAACAGTGACTTTTCTCTCCTGCTCCACCCTGGTCTACGCAGTGGTTTCTTTGCAGTCCTGTTTACTGTTGGGGGTCCAGCCTTCAGACCTCTGACAGTGTAAATGTTGTAATTAATAATTAGCCATTGCAGAGAGTAAGAATATTAGAATAAGAGCTGTGAGATTCCAACTACTATTCTTCTAGCGTTTACATGTTTTTTACATTTTCCCTGGTAAAATGTTTTAAAATAATCATAGTATTTCACAGTGCATTTTGTTACAGCTAAAAGAGCCTAGCAAACACATTGGTCCTGCTGCTGGCACTGCAAGAAGGGGCAGAAAATCCAAAGCTGCAAACCCCCCATCTCCCACCCCATTCCCCCTCAAAAAATAATAATAATAACCTGTGGCAGCTCCTAGCCCTTACTCTGGATATTGACTCTTCATTCCTCAAAGTTGGCTGCCTTTCTTTAATGAAGGGCCAGGCAAATCTCCTTTGCCAGTCAGTCCCTGAGGCCCTCTGCATAAAGTAAGTGGGCATTGGGTAGGTTGGTCCCAGGTCACTCCTGGCTAAAATCACCAAGGGGCTTCCAGGCCTAAGCTAAAAAAGCAGGGTAAGAGTGGTACCCTGGCCCCAGAGGAGGCCTCTCCCTTGGTACCTACTTCCACTGAGTCCAACTGTTTCTCAGTCCAGTTTGCTTTATATGTCTATTTTCCGAAAGTCAGAGATGGATAATGTTTGTGAGAATCTTAGAATAGTAGCAGGCACCCACAGGTTCCAAATTTCAAAAAACAGCTATTAGCAAATAATGGTGTGGAAATGAATCATTTCGGAACTTCCAGCCAAGTTCAGACTGGCAAGTTGGAGGAGAGAGGTAGTATCTGAGCATATCTCGGCCTATGTCACCTGGAATGAGCCAAGTGACAGGTCTGTTACAGACTCAGGGAGGATGGAATACACTTGCAGTTATGTTTTAGAGACAAGGCTAATGCCAGGCGAGCTTTTCATGGTGGTGGGGAGGGGGGCCATATCAATCGGCGAGGATGGGGACGGGCACTTAAGCGTAGGCTTTTCTGGAGGGTTAGAGGCCAACAGATAGAGCTACTCAAACGTGACACCAGCTTCAGCATTGAAGCCCGCGATTTCCTGGTGTCTCCCTCTTGTGCGGAATCATGCCGGACGGGGATCTCAGATTTACTTCTAAAGCACATTCCCTTTGCTTCGCTCGACTTGACCCAAATCAACCGGGTTTCTAACTCAGTCTCAAACCCATCTGCAGGTGGAGGCGAAAGAAGGGGACCGAGAGCAGCCTGAGCGACTGAGGGCKGGCGTACCCGCGCTGCTCGCGGCTTGCCAGGCCTTGGGCGCCCGCTCAGGGTGGGCAGCCCGCGCGGCGGCAGTGGGGCTCCTGCGCACCGGGCACGCCAGCCCACCCGGGAGAAGCCTTCCCGACCCCTCTCAGCAGCTTAACCCGCGGCTTTCCTCAGACAGAGCTGGCTCTCCAGGCGGCGCCCCAGCGGGACCCTTCCCGAGCCCAGTCCGTTCGCCCCGCCTGCCGGATGTCRTGGCAGCGGCGCTCGCCCGGGACTGAGGGCTTAAGGAAGTCCCTGGCGGTCAGCGTCCTGCCCCAGACCGCAAGGCCTCAGAGCGTTCCGGCCACGGAGCCTTTCCCCGACTGCCTCGGCTACGCCCTCCGCGGAGCCTCTTTTCCTCGCCCCTGGCGCCCTATACGCTGACCGGCCGTTTCTCTGGCGGCTGCCACCGTCTCTCCCAGGAAACCCCGACCGCCTTCCCCTGGTCAGGGGCGCGCTCCCGCCTCCCTACCTGGGCCTCCGCCCTCGATCCCCCGCACACACTTCCCCGGGCTCGCGCCCCTCACTCACTGTCCTGCTGCGGGGTGTCGCTGCCACTGGTGAGTCCCGGCGACTCCAGCAGGCTCCGGCCCGCCTCGCCCACGCTTTCGTCCGCCTGGGCTGCGACCATGTCCCCGGCTTCCTCCAGGTCTAGCAGGTGACTGACGGAGAAGTTCTTTTTCGCCTGCAGGGTGTCGAGGTTGCCCGGGCTATCCAAGCGGCCGCCCAGCGCCGGTTGCCGCTCCAGAACGTGCCCGTAGCTGGAGGTCATGGTCTCCCCCTCCAATCCCACCCACCCCCCTCTTCCCGCTCGAATCAACACCAAACGCTGTGGGCGAGAGGGGGGAGAGGAGCCGAGTGGGGAAGAAAGAGGGGGGAGTGGAGAGAGAGAGAGAGAGAGAGAGAGAGAGAGAGAGAGAGAGAGAGAGAGAGA